GTTCGTTTTTTAAAGCTGTTTTTCCATCTGCATAAATCTCCCATCAGACACCACACACTAAAAGCCAAAAGCCGGATAAAAAGGGTAGCTTGCTTGTCTTCTCTCTTCTCGCTTCCCACTACATCAATGCTGGTTTCTTTATAGGAGTCATCAGTAATCCTTAACTACAATATAGTGATGATTCATTTATGAATTGCCTTAGTTCAGCAACAAAAGTTCTTTTATGTTTCCATGCTGCCTCGTCAGACATGCACTGCCAAGATGTGTACATCTCAAATGATGGGCTTTATGTTGTAAATTCAAAATCATTCTTCAGCACTTTCAAAGTGGGCTCGGCATGCTCATGCTATTAACAGTTTCCATTCCAAAGCAGTATTTCCAGTGCATAACTTGTCTTTAATTCTCTCCCATGTTTGCAATTCTAGGTCTAATTTCCTCTCCTATTTTTTGAATGGTACTGCCACCAGCTTTCCAAGTATTAGTTTTTTTTGAATGGCTCATTTTACATCTGTTTGCACTCTACTCTCCTGCAGGTCCCCCTTCCCCATCTTCAGTCAAGAGGCAAAAGTCCTCTAGGATGATGAGAATTTGGCAATGAGCCAGGGAATTGTTTCTTTCAAATAACAGCAACAGCCATAACAAAAAGAAATGGAGAGCATACATTGCTAGAATGAATGAATGGACAGTCAGGGAAACAAACTCCCATGCCTGGGAAATGGGAGACCACAGCAGTAGAACAGTATTTAGTTATTATTTATTTTTTTCATAGATTTCTATGAAATCTGCCCCAATAGGGCTGGGCAGCTGACAGATGTTAAAATCAAACAGACAGTATAAGATATGAAACAAAAAGTCATAAAAACAAATAACAGAGAACAGAGTCATGATAGATGGTGTGAACATTGCCCATAATAGAGAAGACAGGGAACATAGCAAATGAAATTCATCTGAAGATGCTATCAAAGGCCTCTATAAAGAGCCACGTCTTAAGCATCCTCTTGAAAATGGGTGGGGAGGGGGCCAGGTGCAGCTTGACTAGAAGCCTGTTCCATAGTGTTGGTGCCACTATCAAAAAGGCCCAACTTCTGGTGGATGTTTTCCTGGTCTCTTTTGACATGGCAACTCGGAGAAAAATAGTTGGAGAGGATCTGGTGGTGTAGGTCGATGTTCTGGGGAAAGATGCTGTGACCAGTAATGGGGTCCCAAACTGGGAAGAGCTTTATTGATAGTACAAAGGGACTGTGTTTCATCAGATGTTTTGAATGAAAGTGGTCTTCCTTAAAGAGTTGTTGGCAGTGTGATAAACACTGTGAAGTGTTAAGGAATACTGAGAAAAGCTTATGTGGTATCATGGTTAGATTTTCGTTGAATTAGGATCGCTGAGTCTTAAGTGCTGATCTCCATTGAGCCATGAATTTTACTGGATGACTCTGACAGGATCTCTCATTTTAACTCACCTTACGTGGTTTTTGTGTGGATAAACAGGGAGGGAAGAATCACATTTCCTGTGCTCTGCTCTTTTGAGAAAACAATAGCAGTAATAATAAATATAGCTTCAAAGAGAGGGCCACATCTTATTTGTCTTGTTTATTTAATATATTTCTTACCTGATGTTAAAGATCATGACCTTTTTTTGAATGGCACATTTCAATATCACAAACACGTTTTCAAAGTGCCTCAAAATGAAATGGTTTCTTAAAAGAATGAGCTAAAATAAAGTACAATTTCAGACATATAGTGACAAATGTCACTTTTCAGCCAAAAGCTAGAGGAAAACAACTATTTTTTTGGGGGAAAAAAACTCTTAAAACTAGCCACCCATTTTTTAGGAGCAAATTCTCAGGTTAGGAGTTACCACACTTGTTTCATGGGTCTTCATCACGTTTACAAAATTTAGTACTGGTGGGTCAGTAAGCAGGGGTTTTAAATTGTCTTGGAATCATTTAAGATTTTGTATATCTTGACTCAACCATCAATCTAAATGGAGCCTGCAGCTAAGAAATCAGGAGACTGAAACTCAGAACGGTAGTAGTGAAAGAATTAGAAGTGTAAGGATGTGTCGAAATCCAAGACCAGCACCATCCATATTATTGTATTCTTGATCACTGTGTACAGGTGTGAAAACTGGGCAATAAAGAAAGCTGACAGAAAAAAATTTGATTTGTTTGAAAGATGATGCTGGAGGAGAGCTTTACAGATACCCTGGACTGCCAGAAAGAGAAACAAGTGGGTCCTAATCCAGATCAGGCCTGAACGCTCTCTTAAGGCAAAAATGATGAAACTAAAGCTGTCCTACTCTGGGCACATCATGAGAAGGAAAGGTTCTGTGGCTTGTCATGATTCCATTCTCTCAGAGCTTTTGCTTGTGCCCTTGTTTTTTATTCCCACATCAGCAACACTATGTCCACCCTCTCCTGCAACATGGGCTTACAGCCAGTGGCGAGCAGCATTGGAAGAAGTGCCACAATTCACCCTACAATCTTTGCTGGCAAGCTCCTCTCCACGACCCCACCACCCCTAATCTTGTCCTTTCCAGGAAGCAGTTGCTTCTGCCAGAAGTTTCCAACAAAGGTTTTCATCCCCCCCCCTTCATCCTAGTCATCTGTTCAAAGAAATAAATTCCAGGCAGGTATGTACACCACCCTGTGTGGCACAGCTTTCTGTCAGAGCATCTCTCCTTAAGATCGTCTACCTGGGCAACCCGGTCTATTCAGGCTTCTCTCTCTGTCCTCCCCCTGTCCCATAGAGATGTCTGGAAAATCACCACTAGGAAATGAGCTTTCTAAGTGGTGGCCGCAGTGCTATTGAACGCATTGCCTGTTGAAGTTTGCCAGTTCAACAGCTGTTTTGAACAGTTGCCAAAGTTTTGAAGTTCGTCAAAAAATGGATGAAACCCAAGCATTTCAAAGAGGCCTTAAGACAGTTTATCTGACATTGCTTCTGGAGTGTTTTCATTAGTTTTTTTAATTGGGTTGTATGTGTTGGTGGTTGGGTCATTATTTCTCTTTATTGCTGTTAGCTGTCCAGAGTAGTGCTCTGTCACGAGATGGGTGGGATAAAAAATGCAACAAACAAACAAATTGGGTGAGGACATTTGTGACTGGCTGCTCATCTCACTTCTTCTCCAGTGTCTCCTGCCCCACTGGGCACACTTCCACCCCTCGCAAGGCAGGCTTGCTGGGCCTGCAGCCCTCTCCTATAGCCAAGCATTGGCTGAGCTCCAAGCTCAGGGTCATGGGAGAATGGAGGAGCTGGTGGGATCTGGCGAGGCTGGCTGTGGTTGCGTTAGTCAGACCTTGCATTGGCGTTATGCAATATTTATCAGCATTGGTATTCCGGTACTTTGTGGGAAGGTGGGGGTGGAATCCTGAGGCCTCTCTGTCTCTCTTTCTCTGTGTATAACATTTTAAACTAAACTTCCAAGAATGCTCCAGCCAGGTAATGAAGGCTAGGGGATTCTAGAAAAGGAACATTATCAAGGCTTAGCATAGTCATATATAGGACTGGATCCTTAGCCGCTCCTGTATTAGGAAGTCCAAGGATATATCTTCATAGATCCCTCCTTTTTGCTTGACAAAAATGGAAAAATGAAAACTTCAGAAGCAGAGTAATCAGAGTCTCTTCAAAAAGGCAGGGAAGACTCAGCTCAGAAGAGACCGTTTGGGGAAACGCCAACTGCTCAACATGAACGCAGGGCTGGAGTGGCCCTCCAAACCTTGTTGAACTCCAATTCCCATCAGCACCAGCCTGCATACCTGATCAGGAATGATGGGTGGTGTAGTCCAACAATATCTGTGGCAGTACCAGGTTCTCGATCTCCATCTTTTGCAGCTGTATCTGTTCCTATGGAATCTGCCCTCTGCTTGGGCTATAATGAATAGCCTCACTTTGTGATAAATCACAGGTAGGAATAAGGAAGAAAAACAGGTCTGGCTGTCAACGTTTCTACCTGCCCCTGCTAAGGCTCATATAGCTTTAGCTGAAGAATAAAAGGAAGTGAAACTTTTGCCATCACTGCTTCTCATGGCCAAGATATGCTTTCACTGTTAAAAGTTCAGCCTGTCTTGCAACTGCAGAAGGCATAGGGGTAAAGCCTAATAGCAGGGATATACAGTGTTGGGCCCTTGCTGAGGCCCAAGGCTTGGCATGGCCCTGGAATAATGGCATGCCCTTCCTTTGCAACTCAGGCATGGCTGGCTGTGTCATTAGGGAGAGTGAAACATATATTTTAGGCAGCAGATTGTAATGGCTGAACTCCCAACCTCTGGCTCCACAGCCAGATACCTACCTACCTACCTACCTACCTACCTACCTACCTACCTACCTACCTACCTACCTACCTACCTACCTACCTACCTACCTACCTACCTACCTACCTACCTACCTACCTACCATTTAAACACACACCCCGGCACACAGGAAGGCTTTCTCCCATGTCCCCGTTAGACACACCTATAAAGCTGACGGGACCACAAGAAAGGCCTCTCCTGGTGATCTTAACAGCAAGCTGCTCATAATGGGAGATATGGTCTTGTAAGATAGGTTGGGTCCAGGCCATTAAGGGCTGTATAAGCTAGAAACAGCACTTTGTATTGTGCCTAGAAATGGATTGGCAGCCAGTGGAGCTGCCCTAATAGGGGGATTATGTGATCCCTGTAATGGGGGGGAGGTCCCCACTAAGGGCAGCTTGATCAGTGTGACTTCTCAGGTCTCAGAACTGGAGCAAGAGCCTTAGTTTGAAGCACTGGTTCTTAACCTTGGTTTACTCAGGAGTTTTGGACTGCAACTCCCAGAAGCCTTCACCACCAACTGTGCTGGCTGGAGTTTCTGGGAGTTGCAGTTCAAAAACATCCGAGTAACAAAGGTTAAGAACCACTGGTTTGAAGGACTGAAGGCAAACCTCAGTGAGAGAAGCTAGAAGCCCACCATGAAGAAGCTGGAGAAAGGTGATAGGTGTGTGTTGCCCATGTCATAAATTCTCTTTTGCCTCCTCCTTCCAGTGGCATCGTGCCAGGGTGGCTGTGTGGAGGTCGAATCGGAAACCGAGGCTGTGGCTGGCCATGAGTTCAGGATCCGGTGCATCTCTTGTAAGAAGCGTAGTGAGACGGAGGCCGAAACCTTCGCCGACTGGTACTTCAAACAGAAGGGGACGGAGGACTTTGTCAAGGTGTGTGTGGTGGTGATGGAAGGGCAAAAGGTTGTGTGCAGAATCTGTGAGTCAGGACAGGGTGGAAGCACGACATGCCCTTCCTTTGCAACTCAAGACATGGCCGGCCCTGTCATTGGGAAGAGTGAAACCTGTCTTTCAGGCGGCAGAGGGTAAAAGTGCTGGTGATGATGGATTCATATCAGCAACATAATTTTAGCACTTTTGATCTCTAGAAGAAGCAGGGTTTTTTTCTCAAGCAAGTGAGTCTTAATTTCTCATTCAAGACCAACCTACCCTCAAATACGTTGGCTAAAAAGTCTATTGAGAAACACTTGAGTCAGGTAAAAGGTAACGGTTCCCCTTGACAATTTGTCCAGTTGTGTCCAACTCCAGGGGGCAGTGCTTATCTCTGTTTCCAACCCATAGAGCTAGCGTTTGTACGAAGACAATCTTCCATGGTCACGTGGCCAGCACGACTAGACATGGAACACCGTGGTGGTACATATTTATTTACTCGCATTTTGCATGCTTTCGAACCACTAGGTTGGCAGGAGCTGGGACAAGCAATGGGGGCTCACTCCATCATGAGGATTCGATCTTATGACTGCAGGTCTTCTGACCTTGGAGCACAGAGGCTTCTGCGATTTAACCCGCAGCGCCAACACTTGAGTTAGAATGTACAACTGTATTGCAGTCCTGCACCAACTGGTGTGCTTGTGCACCTGATTTCACAAGCAGTGCATGATAGCTAACAAGAAGTGAGGCTGCAGGGTGTGCATGCCCATGGTTGTCCTTACGTGATTTTGTAACTCAACAAGCTACTTTTCTGCAAGAAGGGAAGAGAAGCTTGCAACAATATATGGTTGTTGGGGAAAAAATTCCACACACATAACTGCACCCACAAGGTCCTGGGAGAACTTCAGTGAAGGGAGCTCAGGGAAACCCAGGGCAGTGTTGAGAAACCATCCGAATACCTGGTAATCTCAGAGTCCCTGTGAGCTCTGATTCCACTGCAACACTGGACTGACTTGAGCAACCAGGCAGTGCTTTCTTACCTTGCTTATCAGAAGGAAAAAAATATGCACAGGTTTTTTTTAGCTAAGTAAAAACCTGATGTCAATATACAATAACATATAAAGGGGATTACAACCTGCTTAAACAAACATAGTGTGCTTTATAGCTGTGTGTGGGATTTGATTGAGTGTTCAGTTGCATTTTAACTTGAACCAAGTTAGAAATGGAAAAAAAAAAGGTATTCACTGGCTCCCTGTTAAAAGCTTTTAAAATTAGGCTAAACATTGCCCAACCTGATCTAATTTAATAAATCAGTGGGCCATGGAAGCCAGATATGCATTGTACACCCACAGAATATATGCATCTTTTTGCCAGAGGCAGCTGACGTATTAATATACATGTTTATTGGTTTTATTGTTTTTAAATTTGTAAACCGCCCAGAGTTTTGGCTAGATGGGCGGGATAGAAGTAAATGAATGAATGAATGAATGAATGAATGAATGAATGTAATAATAATCATGTACCATCAAATCAGTTCTGACTTACGATGGCCCTTTTCAGGGTTTTCCAGGTAGAAAATACTCAGAAGTGGTTTCCCATTCCCTTGGGGCACAGTGGTTAAACCGCAGTATTGCAGCACAGACTCTGCTCATGACTCAAGTTTGATCCTAATGGGCTCATGTAGTCAGCTCAAAGTTGACTCAACTTTCCATCCTTGTGAGGTTGGTAAATTGGTTCCCAGCTTGCTGGGGCAGGGTCAATGTGTAGCCTTCATAATTAAGTTCTAGCATGCCCAGAGAGAACTTTAAGTTCTATGGGGCAGTATATAAGCAGCACACTTTGCTTTCTTCTGAAGGGCTTCCTGGGATTGGGGGCACAGTGGTTAAACCGCAGTATTGCAGTACAGTCTCTGCTCATGACTTAAGTTTGATCCTAATGGGCTCAGGTAGTCAGCTCAAAGTTGACTCAACCTTCCATCCTTGTGAGGTTGGTAAATTGGTTCCCAGCTTGCTGGGGCGGGGTCAATGTGTAGCCTTCATAATTAAGTTCTAGCATGCCCAGAGAGAACTTTAAGTTCTATGGGGCAGTATATAAGCAGCACACTTTGCTTTCTTCTGAAGGGCTTCCTGGGATTGTGTAGCTTGCCGAAGGCCACAAAGGCTGACTCCTCTGGGGTGAACAGTGGGGATTTTTTTTCCACAACCAGATACCTAACTCCCTGAAGCTTGATAGTTTTCTCCTCATACTTATAAAAACAACAACAACAAAAACAAAGCATGAAGAAGCGTCCTCCAGTAAGCATGGTTCTCCTTGAGATGAAGGTTCATGGTTGGTCATTCATGCTGGACCAACCAGTGTTTGGTGGTTCCCAGCTCCATCTCTGTGAGGGCCCGCTCAGGGACAGTGCTCTGGCTTCCCTGCCCAGCCTGCTGCGGGCTCTGCCTCTGAGTGGGTGCCCACTGGAGGAAGCAGGGCTGGGAAGGGCTGAACACCTGCTCATCCAAAGGACAAACCAGCACGAAGCATCTAATTAACAGTTTGTGCCCTTCTCTAATTCTATGCAGTGGTGCCTCGCATTACAAAGTTAATTCGTTCCAGCGAAATCGCTGTAGAACGAAAACGTCATAATGTGAAAAGAAAAAACCAATTGAAACGCATTAAAACCCATTTAATGCATTCCAAAGGGCTGTAAACTCATTGTCCAGCGAAGATCCTCCATAGGGCAGCCATTTTCGCTGCCTATGCAGCGAGGAATCCATCCCAGAAAATAGCGGGGGGCCATTTTGAAACCGCTGAACAGCTGTTGGAAAATCGTTGTTTTTGCAAAGAATTGGTTCCTGAAGCAGGGAACTGATCATCGCAAAGCAAAATTTCTCCATAGGGAACATCGTTTTGCGATCGCAAAAAGTTCATCGTAATGAGGTTTCGTCGTTAAACAGGGCGATCGTAAAGCGAGGCACCACTGTATATATATCGTTTTTCATTAAACCAGAAGTGAACTACTGGCTATTTCTGATTTCAGTATCAAGGGGGAAGTGCAGCCCATAATGATTCTGGAGTGGCCTCCAGAGCCTTTAAATTAGCCGGTCTTTGTCTTAACGCTTACAGAGTTATAACAGACATGAGACAAAACAAACGGTGAGTACCCAGGTACTCGGTGTTCCAGGGAGCTGTTCCTAGGGCTATTTTTACTGCATCAATGATTAACCACTTTAGAAGCACCTGTATGTATATGTTTTAGAAAAAAAAGAGAGAGAGAGAGAAGCAAATGGAAATGCTCCTTCAGGGCAGGGGGCAGATGGTGCAAAAGAAATCCACAAAAGCTGTGCTTCTAGATTTGAGATGTCTTTGCATGTTCACTGTTATTATTGTTCTATATCATAATAATAATGTAACATTAGTTGTCTGTGCCTAGTCTTTTCAAGCATTCAAAGAGTAGTGCAGAAAAGTTATTTTTTGGACAACTCTCTGAATCATCTCGCCCAGTGGTTCCCAACCTTGGGAAACCCAGGTGTTTTGGGGTTACCCAAGCAGTTCCCAGAAGCCTTCACCACCAGCTGTGCTGGCCAGGGTTTCTGGGAGTTGCAGTTCAAGAACACCAGAGTCACCAAGTTTGGGAACCACTGACATAGCCAGCCATGCTGGTTAGGGAAATTCTGGAGGTCACTCTTGAAAAAGTAATTCCCCTCTGCTCCCCTCCCGCTCTGCTTCAAAATGCTTCATGTGTGATTCATCCAGACAGGACAGACATTTATTCCTAGGTGGCCACTCAACTAACAAAGCCCCTTTCCTACTTGGATTCTACCTGAGTTTAATTAGAGGCAGCCTTGCAACTTACTTGACCTTGTCCATTTCCCAGAAGGTGACATTTTAAGCCATTATAGGATGGCCACCTAATAGGGATGCTGTAGCAGTAAGCTCTCTGCAAGGGGTTGGACTAGATGATCTTGGAGGTCCTTTTGAATTGGGTGATTTGATTATTCTTAACATTCTTGTTTTGATAACTATATCCTAAGGCGTGTGCTTGTATTAGTGGCAAATTTGTCTTGCTTCTGGATCAATGATACAAACATAATCTTACAGTGCACAGGTGAGACCCAGTTAAGGTAAGGATATGACTCTCTCATTCTCAACCTACTAGATGAAGAGTGATGTACTGTATTTGGTTAGCCAGTAGGCAGTTCAAAGACTGGATCTGCCACTTCTTCTGGTCAATCTGTGGCACAGTTCCAGTTCATTTCAAAAGAATTTCCCTTCAATTTCTATTGAATCCTTCCCCATTCTGCCTGAAATTATACCTCAAGCCTGTTGCTTTAGCTGGTGTCCTCACCCTGCCTCTTGATAAAGTAACCCGTCATCAAACTTTTTAAAAACTGATTTTGGTTCTGTATATATGTCTGTTTGTTTCCTTCCCCCGTTCTTTCTTGGAATACAAGTTGGTGCACAACAGTCAAAAATACATGCATAAAATCACAGTAAATTAAGACATTATCATTAAAATAGGATTAAACCAAAAGAATTGGTTAAAATAGGGGGGCAGGGAATTCCATTGATGGAAAGCAACTGCCAAAAATGCCCTCGCCCAGGTCCGAACGAAAGGGTTGGCTGTGGGACCAAGAGAAATCCTTTCCTCAAAGGTCTCAGAAGAAGTCTTTCTCTTGTATTGGGGGTGAGGTCAGTGGGCTAAATCCGGATTTACTTCCAGTTAGAATGATTCCATGAATAGGATTTGTCAGTCACACTATGGACAGTATATGTCTCATTAATTTTGGTGGGTTTCTTGTGGTCATTGAAATCATATGTTGCCCTGTTTCTTCTGGCTCAGACTCTGATGAGGTTCTCTCATGCCTTTCCTCCAGATCCTTCATTATGATGCTGAGACTAAGCTCAGCGTATTCGACGAGCGCTTTATGGATCTGGTGGGCTGGGAAGGCACCCACAGCGGCCCCGACTTGCAGGAGCTTTCCATTAGGTTGAAGAACGTGACCTATGACCACGAGGGCGAGTACATCTGTAGTGTGAACCGCACCCTCCTTTATGCAAATGACTTCGCACACAATGTCTTGGTCAAAAAGACCATACACGTCGACGTGGTGGACAAAGGTAAATGGGGAAATGGAAGGAGGAGTTAGGACCTGGGGTTGGAAGGGAGGCCTCGCCGGTTGCAGGGGTAAGTTTGAAACATAAAGGCCCTGCTTGATTGCATCAAAGATTAATCTCATCCAGCACATGTTTACCTAAAACTGCTGGATCACTCAGTGGTTTAGGCATTTGGGTGCAGAACTAGAGGTTGGGAGTTCAATCCCCCCCTCCCGTTCCTTCCCTGTTAATGATCCCCCTGTTAATGATCCACTGGGTCCCTTCCAGCTCTGCAGTTCTAAGATGATAATGATGATGCTCCTTGGAAGCTCATAAGTTACTGTTTTTACTTTGGACTATAGGCTTTTATCTTTTTAATTGGCAGATTAAATCAGCTCTTCTCTTTGGAGGGAGAGTACAAGAGCCTTTTTAAAAAAATGGTCGATACTGATAGCTTAAACATTGGTTTAGGATAGAGATATAAAGAATACTTGACAAACCTCTTCTTCCTCAGGTTATCTTGACACTATGAGATGCCCCAAAAATGAATTTTTCAAGCCCCTCAAGTTTCCTCAGCTCCAACTGAGAGCAAGACAAAGAATGCCATTTTAAGTAGCAAGGTCTCTATATATTTGCACAGATTACTTCTGTGCAAAACAAGTGTCATTTCTATTTCAGAAACAAAACACATACAAAGCAAGCACAGAACAACTGGCTGATTGTTTTATAATATGCAGATAAGCACCCTGATGCTTCTAATCCTTAAAAGCTGATGCAAGAATGTGGCAGCCATTCTTTTGTCTTAGTTTGAGATATTTGTGCAAAGTTTAGTACAGTAGAACCACCATATCTGCGAGATTGTTCCCCACGGTTTCACTTATCTGTTGCCTGAAAATATTAAACAACACCCCTGAAAAATGTGCATTTTCAAGGAGTATTACCAGAACTGAACACTAGAGGGAACAAGAAACTATGCAATATACTATAGGAATTGTTATTTCTAGGATTTTCGGCATTCGTGTGGGGAGGGTTTGGAACTGATTCTCTGCAAATACCACAGTCCTACCATATTTGGCAATTTCAATTAGTCTGCATAAAAATTCATTGCCTTTAACATCTCTTCCTTAATGTGTCTCAAAATACTCCACTTTCTCAAAGGACAAGGATAATAATTTTGTGCTTCCTCATCCCTGAGTGCAAGGATAAGACAGATAAGGATTTTCATTATGCAGTTGAGCTATGAAAATACTTAAGCACCTTAAGCCTAATCAGCTAAAATGCAAAACTTAAGAAACTGCACTAAAAATTAAAATACTCTTTGATGCACCCAGTACATCTTTAGTAATCAATAGGGCAAATGACTCAAAATATAATACAAAAATAGCTTTGATGGAACTCCACTAAAAATAGTAATGACACTCACTCCATCCCAGCCTAATCTTACTGAAAAAATAGTCTTATGCAGTGGGTGCTGTGACTTTAGTCTGACTGTGTTTCCAGTGGGAAGCATATCAACTTCAGTTAATTCATCAGTTACATCCAATTTAACCTGCTGTGAGATGAAAATTCACGGCACATCTTTATATCTGGAATCTACATTAATTCCTTGACACTTAAAACAAGCACATCTCTGTCAGCAGCCCTATTGCACTGGGCAAAGTCTCTCTCTTCTAGAGTCTGTTGGGAGATAGAGGGAGTTGCGACTCAAGGGATCAAGGATGAAACATGTATTCCAGATGTTTTCACTTGTAATTCCCATAATTCCTAGGCAGCGTCTGAGGATTATGGAGTTTGTTGTTCAAGACAATTGGTAGGCTTACCCTTGGTTCAGAATCGTGAAATTAAAAAGTGCCTTGCTGCAGCCAGAGATCTCTTCTCAGGGAGGCCAAAAAGGGGATGACAATAAATCAGCCCTTTTTGGCAGCAGCCCCTAGTCCTTGGAATAAGTTATCAACTGAGATATGCCTCCTGATTTTCCCTCCTGATATTCAAGAAACTGGTGAAAACAGAGTTATTCAAAGCTGCTTTTGCCAATGAATTCTCCTGGATGTTGTTAACTTTAATGCTAATTTTAATCCCCCACTCTTTTTGTATGAATTTTAATCCTCCATGTTTAGACTGCCATATACTGTAGTCAAATGTATCCTGTTATATGGGATTTTGTGAGGTATTAAATTTCAACCTGTAGACTGCCCAGCGGAGTGTTTACACTAATAGAGTGGTATAAAAATCAATCAGTCAGTCAGCCAACCAACCGACCGACCGACCGACCGACTGACCGACCGACCAACCAACCAACCTCTGGCTCCATAGCCAGATGCCTAAACCATTGCAAAGGAGAATCAGTCTGCATGAAAGAACAGCATGACTTAAAATCTGGCGTCTTTTCTGTTAAAAAAAGAAGAAAGGAGGGGCAGCAGAGCAAAGACAGATAGAAATGGGGTATATGTGGTACATTCCTATTCCTCTCTTCCTTTCCACAGCAAACCGAGACATGGCATCCATTGTCTCCGAGATCATGATGTACGTTCTAATTGTTGTCCTGACCATCTGGCTGGTGGCTGAGATGATCTACTGCTACAAGAAAATTGCTGCAGCGACGGAAGCAGCTGCTCAAGAGAACGCGTAAGAAGTGGGGACAGAACAGGAGCTCAACTGTTGGAGGTGGAAATCCAGGCGGGGCAGAAAAAAAGAAAAAGGAGCCACTGGGCAGTGGTAGGGACAGGGGATGGTGCTCCCCTGGTTTCAGTGCTCCATACCAGCAAAATCATCTACCACTTCTATTTGTGTCCTGTTTCACGCGCAAGATTATCTTATAGCCGTGGTGGCATTTTGGAATGGGAGTGTTGGATTTCTTGGACTACAGATCTCAGAACTCTCAATTCTGGAAGTTAAATACATGACAGGCAGACTCTTTTGAGAAACCTAGGCGTTCTCTCAAGCTTCCAGTTGAGAGAAAGGCCTCAACCGGAAGCTTCTGAGGCTGAACTAGGCCTAGCTCCACCTAAACTTCCTGTTCCTGCCCCAGTGCTACCTGGGACCTTTTTTTCAGAACAAGAATGTAACTCAGCTCTAAAGCATTCCAGCTGAGGCCTTTCTGCCAGGTGAGCCACGTTTAGGTGTCTGTAAAACGTCCGTCCATCAGATAGAACTCCCAAAATGGAGAACTGTGGGATTTGTAGTCTAAGAAACCCAACAATCCCATTCCTAGTAGCACTGCCATCAGTGATGAGTTACTCTTAAACTGCCCGTTGTCTTAAATTCCCAGAATGCCAACAGCTGTATTTGGCCAGCAAGCTGTGTGCAGATCTCCACATCAGTTTCTGTGAGCTCCACAACACCTATTTCAATCAGAGTTGGTGGTGCACTGCTAAATTCATCAACATTTTTTTTAAAAAAAGTGGTTTTGCACTAAAACAAACTAATAACAACCACATGGGTTGTCTGGATTTTCTGCAGTGGTTCTATCACACCTTCACTGTAGGGCATTGTGGGAAATTAAAATGGCAGTGCCCCCAGCAATATTATAATTACCACCAGGTGGTGCTATCTGGAAGCTGTCTTTGTCTATGTCATTACAGTCGTGCCCCACTTAACGATTACCCTGCATTATGACAAATCCACTTTACGACGATGTTTTTGCGATCGCAATTGCAATCGCAAAACGATGGTCTAAACGGGGGAATTTCGCTTAGCAATGATAGGTTCCCTGCTTCAAGAACCGATTTTCACTTTATGACGATCAAAAACAGCTGATTGTCGGGTTTTCAAAATGGCCGCCGGGTGCTTAAAATGGCTCCTCGCTATGCTTAGGGACAGATTCCTCGCTATACAGGCACTGAAAATGGCCGCCATATGGAGGATCTTCGCTGGACGGTGAGATTTTAGCCCACTGGAACACATTGAACGGTTTTCAGTGCGTTTCAATGGGGTTTTTAATTTCACTTTATGACGTTTTCACTTAACAGAGATTTTCCTGGAACGGATTATCGTCATTAAGCGAGGCACCATTGCATAGGAAATCAAATAGCAATGGTTCCGTAACCCATTGCTCACTGGAGTGCCAAAACCTCTTAGCAATGTTCTTTCTCAGAGAGGGCTGGAGTAGAATTCAACAACAGGCCATGTTAGTCCTGAGATCTCAGCAGTGACTTGAAGGAGTTAGGGTGAGGAAGTTGAGTAGAGCCATTTTCTTACATATTCCTATTTTCCCCCCCGTGTCTCAACAGCTCCGAGTACTTGGCTATCACTTCGGAAAGTAAAGAAAATTGTACAGGAGTGCAAGTAGCTGAATAGTCCATGTAGGCCATCAGCAGGCACAGGGATTCCTGGTTGACAGGTAATTGCATCTTTATGTTGTTCTTCTTGTTGTCAATACCTCCGCATGTGTGATATTTTGCACAGTATCACAAAAGCAGAAGAGAAGAAAGACTTTAGTGGGACCACCAATGTGGCAGGAATAGACAAGAGGAATGCAGGTCTAAATGAGGAAAGAGGATTAGCAAGGAGCAGATGCAAGGACATTGCAGTTCCATGAACAGAAGAGAGCATAATCTGTCCCCCAAAATGGAAGAGCCTGATTTATGCTGTAATTAAAGAAAAAATCCAAGATCTGTAGGTAGATGATGCTTTTATTAGGATCTAGAATAAATCCACAAAGTGTGCTAGCTTTTGAGTTCTCCAAAACTCTTCATTGGACTAGAAGGTAAAAAATTGGAGGTTGAGGGGAAAGGAAGTGTGGAAATCCCAGCATTTGGGCTAGATGTCTTAATGGAAGGCATGTGTCGTGGAAATGAATGTAAAGGGAAGAGTGGTGGCTCTTGTATCAGTCTACCCCAACCTGACTCTCTCTAAATGTTTGGGACCTGCAATTACCATCATCCTCAGATAGCATGCTGGGGATTAACTGAGGTTAAGCAGCAATCCTGAGATGGATGTCATTGTTCATGACTATAATTGCTAGAGGATTCTGAATTGATCACCTGAAGCTGGGCTTTGAAATTAGTGCATGGAATCCTGCTTTTGGAGTAGATAAGAGGTGTTATTTTTTTAAAACCAATTTAGTAGATTATAGTTGCATGCAGTTCTCTCCCCGGGCTACAACTCTTGCAGAGTTTTGAATTTCTGGTAAAATTCTGGTTGCTACACAGTAGAAGTACAGAGCTCTGCTGAAGAGAATAGTTAAAAGTTCCCCAAATATTCCACGCCTTCCTCATTAACTGGCACTTAAGGTCTCAGTAACGTACTCTGAGAAATTTGTAGGAGAAAGAATAAAATATTTCATTAGTCAGGGTTGTGAACAGGTAAGCAGCAAACAACAATCATCAATAGATTAAAGAGAGGGTAAGAGAACACTTAGCAGAGAGGCAGGGCTCTCTTTGAAATCAAAGACTGGAAGGAATTATTGGTTATTGCTAGACAGAGAGACAATCACCCTGAAAAAGTCTCTCCCAGTCACTCAGACCAGAGATAGCACACAAGGTTGCAAATAAAACTCCCAACAGCAATAATCTTGAATGGAAAATGTTATTTAGCTTTCTGTGGTTGCCTTTTCTGTTACATGAAATAGCAAAGGAAACAGTGCACTGTCTACAGTGGGCAAAATGCAACATTCTGTTTCTGAGGAAGATTGCCAACTGCATTACAGAGAGGTGTTCCCATGCATTTTACTAGCTATAAACAGAGAAGAATTTGGCATACACCACTTTTCCATGGACTGTGACACACTGTCAGGAGATCTGGCATCTCTGGAGCCTTTCTCCACTGTTAAAAATGCGACTCAGCCAATGCCAGCTTCAGTTTTTGGTCGATTTGGGGGACATGGTGCTATCTGTGAGGTCCTCCTACACGACACTCTTGCTGCTGCATCCTCATGTATGTAGGCATGCGTGCAAACAATTTATATTCTGATCTGCTTTGATGTTTGATTTGTATCTTGCCCTTCCCCACTTCAAAGTATAATTAACAAGCAAATTGAATTTAAAGTAAATTTGTTATGAATATTAAAACACAATTAAATCAGTTACCATACTGAAGCAGACTGTTCAGCAGGAACTGCTCTTTCTTGCCTTCATGTCTGGCCAAGGCACTGTTAGTCTAGAAGAACAGGTGAGCCGGCAGAGTGGCCGCAATGAGGAAGATGATGAGAGCTGGGGTCTCGAGAGGTTGACTGTTGTCCTCTGGATGGGATGTGGCCCCTGGAGGGATTCCTGGCCCTGCAAAATACCTCGGAGCCTGGAGAGAGATGGAAAGCCTAATTCCAGATTATCCTGAGGAAGGAGCCTCCTGGCACAGTGGTTAAACTGCAACACTTCAGTCAAGACTCTGCTCATGACCTGAGTTTGATCTCACCAGGCTCAGGTAGCAGGCTTGAGGTTGACTCAGCCTTCCATCCTTCTGAAGTTGCTTGGTGGGGGGTGGGGAATGTTTAGCCTGCATAATAAAATTGTAAAGGGTCCAGATAGTGCTTTCAAAACAATCTGCTGGATAGCTCAGTGGTTTAGGCATCTGGCTGCGGAGCCAAAGATTAGGAGTTTCGATTCCCCACTGTGCCTCCTTGATAGGTCTCAATGATCCGGCGGGTCCCTTCCAGCTCTGCAATTCTAAGATGGTGATGAGCATGATGATTAAGTGGTATGACGTGGTCTGTAAGCAGTGCACTTTGCTTTATCCTGCTGCCGTGACGGTGATCTAATGCTGCTTTGGTTACCATTGTTCCAGGGATGAGGCATCGACAAGGAGCGGAGGAGAGGGAGAGTGTGACTCAGCAGAGGCATCAGCAGCCCCTGAGAAGCGTGGAACAGGAGCCAAGCAGCAGCAGCAGCAAAAGCCCCTTCCCCCACTGCACGGCCTTTTCTTTTCTGAACAAAAAGCATGCCATTTTCAATAACGAGAACCCGGGATCTGACCAACTGCCCTGGGACAGACACCCGTGCTTCTACGGGGAAGGGCGTTCTCCTCCTGGCAGGCACCTTGCTCGCTTTAGACACATCCTTTGCACCTTCTCGTGACTGAGGGTTGCCTCCCTGCCACAATGCATGATGGGGAAGCGGCATGGCGGCTTGCTCACACAATGCAAACGCTTCAGGGGGGTGTCCTTACCCTCCCCTCTTCTTGCCACGGCCTCGTGCCAGCTTGAGGCCTCCTTATTTTTATTGGCACTGGCGCTTTCTCGTTTTTTGCACATTTTCTTGCGCTTTGAGGGCTTTGGGGGGTGGTGGTGTATTTTTTGTTTTCCTATTACTTCGCTACCAGCACTTTTTATGGGTCTGAGGAGAGGAGGACCCAATGGTTGGAATTCTTTTGCCCGCTTCTGGGCCTACACACTGGGAGTTGGATCCCCCTCAGCTCCCAGGGTAGGACTAGAGTGGAAGAAAGGGTTCAAGATGGCCGCTCCCTAAAAATTGCTAAGGCATCACCCCCAGAGGGGGACATCAAGATGTGGACATTATATCCTAATAGGCAAATGCCTTTCATGAGTGAAATATTTAGCACCAACACAGTTATGGACTGTGATGCTTCCAAGGCCTGTCTTGATTAGAGTTAGCCATTTTATTTTCTGACAGGATTTTCCTCCAAGCTGTCACCTTGATGGAGAGTTTGGTTTGCTCAAGGCCTCTTATAAAAGGGAGGAGACACAAATTGGATCGGAAGGGAAGCATTTGGTTCCAAACATTGCTCCTTTCCTCTCTTTATCCTGAAATTTGTTACCGTTGCACCTGATCAAATCTGCTCCCTTGGCTCTTGTCTTTGGTACCAACTCATTCTTGCTATGAAGCCTCCATGTCTTCGCTCTCCTGAAACCTCCCCATCTTGGATCCAGGACCACCTAGTCAGGCTGTTTTGGGCTTGTTGGAGAATACCGTGTCCTTCCCTCTCCTCAGACCTCTGGGGCTGGCCCCCCTCAGGGACCAGCTGCCATCACAATAGAATAGGGTTTGTTCATAAATAAAGATGATTGAATTTCACCTCCTTTGGCTGGATTGTGATTCCAGGTGGTGGGGAATGAGTGAAGTGTTTAGATGTACACAAGCAATACAAAACACCACAAAAACAATACATGAACTGGGTAATAAGGCTTATAGCAGAAAACAACAGGATATGGCCTTCAGAAGCGTGTACACAAGCAATACAAAACACAAAAACAATACATGGACTGAATAATAAGGTTTATACTGTAGTAGAAAACAACAGGATATGGCCTTCAGAAGCAAGGAGACGCGATGGAAAGGTTTGAGGCCTTTCCACTTGACAGAGCTACTATCTATGATTCTCATTAGATGAAATTGCCCCAGATAGGCATTCATTTGTAGTAATTGCTTCATTACTACCTTACATTTGATTGTCTTTCCTGAGTAGTACATGCATGGGGAATGTGAGGAAATGCAGTTTAGTTGGCAGGACATGCGCTTTGTGCATAGCAGGACCCAGATAAAATCGCCAGCCTTTGCAGTTAAAATGACCTCTTATAGCAAAGGGAAGGGAGTCAGTATGGTGTGGCTGTTATAGGGAGTGGACTGAAACATGGTGTTGTCTGAAGCAAAGGGCAAAATGGTGCCCCTTTCCATTCCATGTATAGAAACTGGCAACTGAACTTTGTTCCAAAACTTACATTGGTTGGAATCCTGTAGCAAATCCCAACCAGCCAGGCCCATTGAATAAGTAGGGAAGTGATGAGTCAATGCCTTGTATAATTTCCACTGACTCTTATAAGCCTTCTGTGTTCGCAACTTACTACTGGATTTCAGCCCTCAAGCCCTATTCACTCATTACATTCCCAGGTGTAACAGACATGGTTAAGAGAGGAGGGCCTTCCCCTTCATCCTTGCACTTTCTGTGTGGAGAATGACATGTCTGAAGAAAACTCACTCATTGTGCATATGCTGTACACGCAAGCAACAAACCCAGAAAATCTGGATTCTTGCCTGCATTTGGAGCCTGCATGTGAGAAGATGTTTTTCCTCTTCAGACACACCACTTTCCAAGTGAAGGAAATGACAACAGAGAGGGACTGGAATAGCTATTCCTCTCTAAGCATGTTGATAACAGCTGGGGAAGTAATGGTTGAACAGGGGTATGGTGTCCACCATCTCAGCAGCTGATTTAGTGGGTATAGTGCTGCAGTTCTGGCCTCAGGAATGGGGAATGCTGGGGAACTCAGAAAGAACGGCTGAGGTACTAGTATTACTTCTGTTTTCCAGCATTGTGATACCTGAGGCAAATGCCTCACTCTATCTAATAGTAGGGCCGGCCATGGGTGTTACCACACTGTTGGCCAAAACTTGCCAGGGCTGATCCAGTTATTTCCTTCAACCATGAAACACATTGGGTGACTACAGAAGAATTACAATTTAACACTTAAGCTGCTTTGCAGTGTTGTTGTGAGGATAATATTTGGTGTGAACAATGAGCTTCTTGGGGAAACAGGCAAGATACAAATGTACAGTAGTAGTAAACAAAAAAGGAAACTTCTTTCTGAGTTTCTGGAAAACTACTGCCAGTCATAATAAACAGGACTGATGCAGGTAAACACATTGCCACTTGGTATAAAAGAGCTTTACTGAGTGTACAAAGTGGGTTCCCCTGATATATATTCACATTTAAATTGTCTATTTCTCCAGTCTGTACCTTCTTCCCCAAATTCCTTGACATGAGTCTGCTTTGATTCTCACAACAATCTTGTGAGGTACCTGACTCTGAGAGGTCATGAGTCATCATGGGCCTCATCTTGGAGTTGGGAGAGACAACCAGATAGCTCTTCCTGGTGCTGTGTATGGCAAATCCCATAAGCCCCAGCCAGCACACCCTCTGGTCAGAGATGATGGGAACTGTAGTCTACAACATCTGGAAATCAATAGGTTGCGGATGTTTGCATTACAGAGGTCTTAGCTGGTATGGACTCAAGGTAGCGTTGAAACTGCTATATCCTGTTTTATTGCAGAATATAGTTTTCTGACACCATCCAGTGGCGAGTCATCAAATTACACTCATGACTATTTATTAATTTATTTATTGAATTTTTATATTGCATATCTAGTATCATGGCACGACTCTCGGTGGTTTCCACAGATAAAAACATATAAAAACACCCAATCCCACTCCCATCAGACATATAATCCGAGACAACCCAAAATACCCCCAACAGCGATGATGACAAACAACAACAAGAAATAAAATATAACACAGATATAGTAGGCTATCATGAGGGGAGGATGTTCTGGAAAACTCTGAAGAGGTATGTTTTTATGAGCTTTTAAAATTCTGGGAGGGAAAGGGCCTGGTGCACCTCCACTGGCAGGGTATTCTATAGTGTGATGGTCACCACCAAGAAGGCCTTATCCCCAGTCATAGATTTCTGGGCTTCCTTCAGAGTGGCAACCTGCAGCATTACAGCTTTTGGAGGAGCCACTGGATGGTGTCAGAAAACTATATTCTGCAATAAAACAGGATATAGCAGTTTCAATGCTACCTTGAGTCCATACCAGTGGCATGGGTGCACAATCTCAGGGAGAGGTGCTCCAACAATCATATTGGGCATGGTGGTAAGTTTTGGGAGCTGTCAACCCAAATAAGGAATGTTTCAGACTTTTATGTAAGCAGAGGAGGGGCAGTATCTGTCCTTGATCATCCCCAAGTGCGGGACACACAACTGAGTTCAAGTTACAGGAAGCTAGATTTTGGCTGAATATCAGGGGAAACTTCCTAATTGTTAGAGCAGAACCATGGAACCAATTATCTCGAGAGGTGGTGAGTGCTCCAATACTGGAGGCATTCAAGAGAAATTTAAACACCTGGCAGATTTGATTTGTGTTCCTGCACTGAATAGAAGGTTGAACTTTGTGGCCTTATAGGCCCCTTCCAGCTTCATGATTCTTTGATTTCAAGCTACTGCATTCTGACCAAAACCACAAAGGACAGGCTGCAGGGTTGTTTTTTTTTTTTTTTTGTGAAACACTCACAAATTCATAAATGTATCAACATCTTATGTGATATGTGCCATCAAGTCACTTCAAAGTATTGGGGACCAAATAGGGTTTTTGAAGTATGTATGTGAAATGTTCAAGAAGTGGTTTACCATTGGCACTGTTCAGTGGGTTTCTGTGGCCAAGCATGGGTTTGAACCCTGGTCTCCCAAGTAGCTTAGCACTCTGTCCACTGCATCATGCTGGCTCGTGGACAATCGCCACGAATGTATTGACATTGACCAGGAAGTAAATCTCACTGAGTAAATGTGTGTGTGATGTCCAAATAAATGAGTAGGAAATGCATTAAATCAACATAATCTCTCCTTCAAAATTGTAGTAAATGTTATTGGTCATTCTTCTCAACAATGTGTGTGTGTTTAAAGAGGTGAGAGAGGATTTCGCTTCATCTGAAGAAGAGAATAACAAGATGGATCAGTTCCTGAATTTAGTCAGCCAATATGAAATGGTGTTGAACACCTCTGTCCAGCTCTCAGCCTTATTCTTTATGGGTTATTCAGGAGCTGAAGCAAATTCAATTTTCCTCCAGGGCATGGAAGATTGCTTAGGCAGAAAGTATTATATTCTACTCAGAAAAAACAAAAACAAAACAAAAAGCCAGAGAGAGAGGGAAAGGCACGTCGGAGAAGGTGAGAGCCAAGCTAAGGTAGACAACTGTAGAGATCCCACAAGGAATGCGGTCTTTGTCCTGCTTTCGTACATTCTTTCAGGATATTTTTTTCTCTTACCGTAGGCCAAAGATGGCTGTAACAATGCAACTTTTCCGTAATTATTTCACATGTTAATACTGACAGGCTTTACAGAAAGGGGAAGGTGCCTTTTTCTCTTCTTTTAACTTCAAATTCAACAGAGGACTAAGATAATCCTGTACGTTTTTACCCTGCAATGGAATATCTAAGCCTGAATCCAAGTGCAAGTCTTAACTAGAGTAGACTTATTGAATGAATGGGTTTTGCACCAGTGTTAACTCCCCATTTATCATGCCCAGTGGGGACTCTTCCAGCTGGGAGTGTAATCATACGGGGAAAGAGAGCGTAATCTGGACCACTTCTGGAGTGGTAAGATATGATATTTCTCCTGGTGCTCACTTATCTATCTCTGTCTGTCTGTCTGTCACACCACCTCATCAGTGCAACAATGCATGGGAAAACCTGCTCTAGCCTGACCTTGATTGATGCCCTAGGTGAACCTTTTTGTTCTAGCTGTAGGGCGTCTACTTTTTGGCTGGAGTGATTACATGACAGATGAAACAGTCACTTTCAGGTGGATTGCTTCCATTAAAAAAACCCCTTCTGCTGCACACTAGAAATGGACAAGAATCACGGGATAAATGGATGCTCAGCAGTGTCCTTCCCACCCCCACCTCCTCTGGTGGGCACCCACTCAGAGGAGGCAGGGCAGGGAAACAAACCAGCATAAACTACCTAAACATGAACCTTCATTTCAAGCAGAATCATGCTTCCTGGAAAGTGCTTATGTTCTTGTTTTTTTAAGTGTGAGGAAAAGACTCTTGAGCTGCAGGGAGCTGCAAATAAACAAATAAACAAATTAAAAAGTGGAGGAGCATGATAGCTCAGTGAATTAGGTATCTAGCTGCAGAAAGAGTTCAGTTTACCCCTGTTCATCCTAGAAAAGCAAGCTACACAATCCTGGGAAGTCCTCCAGGGGAAAGCAAAGAGCAATGTGTGCTGCTTATATACAGCCCCAAAGTACTTAAAGCTCTCTCTGGGTGGTTTACAACTCAATGATGAAGGCTACACATTGACCCCACCCAAGTAAGGGTAATGAATTCACCAATCTCAGAAGGATGGAAGAATGAGTCAACTTTCAGCTGACTACCTGAATCCATCAGGATCAAACTCAGGTTGTGAGCAGAGTCTTGACTGCAGTACTGCAGTTTAACTAGTGGGTCACGAGGGAATGGGTAACCACTTCTGAGTATTCTCTTCCTGGAAAACCCTGGAAAGGGTAGTCATAAGTCATCTTTTTGTTCCAACTATAGGGCTTCTACTTTTTGGCCCGAGAAATTACATGGCAGATGGAAGTCACTTTCCGAGAGATCGCTTTCATTGAAACAGCTCTTTCTGGTGCACACTAGAGATGGAATGACCAGATGAACAGATGTTGAATGGTTCCTTTTCCAGCCCTGCCTCCTCTGGTGGGCACAAAACAGCTCTTTCTGGTGCATACTAGAGATGGGCAAGAACCACCAGATGAACAGATGTTGAGTGGTTCCTTTTCCAGCCCTGCCTCCTCTGATGGGCACCCATTCAGAGGCAGCACTCAGAACAGAGAAGCCAAGGTGCTGCCTCTGACAGTGCTCACCTCCTGGTCACCCACTGGAGGAGGTGGGGCTGGGAACCACCAAACACCTGTTTGTCCAAAGGACAAACTGGCATGAACTGGCAGTTCATGCCCATCTCTAGTGCACACCTTTACAGCCATCAGATCCCAGGAGACAGTCTTCTTGGCCAAGAAGAACATGTGTTCTTTTACTCTTGGGACTACTTAACCTCCACCTGCTGAACTATCATTTCTAGTCCTGTTATTGTCTCTTGTCATTTTAATTCCTCTTACAGAGAAAGGGTTATTAAGAAACAGTCCAGCACTAATAATACAAATGCAGGAGCAGGTGATGCTTTTATTAGACCACTAAAACATCAAGTAAACTACAGACAGCTGGCTTTCAATGATAATACACCTTCAGGCTGTGCACCAGATTCTTGTGATTAGCCTGAAGAAGATGAATTATCATTGAAAGCTAGCTGTCTGTTGTTTGCTTGATTGTGTTTTAGTGGTCTAATAAAAGTATCACCTACTTTTGCATTGTTTTGGAGCCTACGTGGCCCTTTTCTGATTTTTTGCCAGCTGTCATGTGCATGTCCATGGATATGGATACAGCCTTAAGTCATGCTGATCATCGGAACCATAGAAAAGATTTGCATTCAGTAGTGGAAAGAACCTTGGCAGAATGGGGTGTCTTTCACAGAAAGAATTTGTGACATGGAAATAGGGCATTGTGAGTTAATATGGCACCATATTAAGTGCTGCAGGGAAGGATTTGTTTAAATTCCATTTCCTGCTCATTGCAGGTGCCTCAGTGACGCTGAAGAGTCCTGCTGTGGAAGCCGTCTCTGCTTCTGCGGATCCACTTCCAGTTCACAGTCTACCAAATGATTTTTTTTCTCACACAGTACGTGGCAAAGCCAGCATTTATATCAGCCGACACCTCCTGAAGGTGACTTGATTTGCCCAGTCTTGGCACTACCCACAGACATTAAAAGAACATGAACATTCGTCCAGTCACCTCGCAGGCTGCAATGTTTGAGCAAAATGAGAGAGCTGAAACTGACTGACAGTAATTCCAGCTTTTTGTGTACCTTTCTGACAGCTCTGGACCATTTAAAATCAAACCTCCCTTCATTAAGATAACATAACTGTAATTTAAGAATGGAAGTTTTGGATTTAACCCTGTAATGCTCACCTCAGAAATGAAGGCTTAGCACTGTCAGTGACTATTATCTTTCCTCTCTTTTTCCTTCCTTTGTCAAAACTAAAACCTGGAAAGTTAGTTTTTCTGACTATAGCACCCATTAATCTCCAGCCAGTGTGTTTGTGCCAACTGAGATATATCGAAGGTGGTAGCGATCGTCTGCTACCAAATGTTGGCATATAGCAATTATGGGGAGCAAGTGGGAGGTGCCATTTTTTAATTGCCATGTTGCAGGTCCTCTTAAGGAATAAAGATAGTTTTCTTCTGGGACTTCCTGCACCTTCGCACAGTGACTTTGACAGGTGACGGATCAAGCAGCATGCCTGGCACAGGAGGCATTGTCCCAAACTGCAATAAAGAGAGGTAAGGATTTATTATGGACAGTGAACATGTTCAAAGCAATATCTTAATACCCTGATAAGCATGGTAAGGTGGTGCATTTCACAGGTGCTTTCCCATTTATTATTGTTGCTTCTAGATCCTACCTTTCCTCCAACGGGCATATGGTGCTCACCTCCTCCGGTCCTCAGAACCAGAGGAGATAGGTCAGTTGGAGAAAGTGTAACTGTTTTGAGATCCCTAACTCTAACCCTACATGAGTTCCATGACTGAGTGAAGATCAGAAGACAGGTCTCAAGGGTCTTAATCCAGGACTCTAAACCACTACACATGTGATCTCCCATCCAAAGTCTCTTCAGGCTGGACCCTTCTTAGCTTCCAAAATCAGTTGACATCTGGTGTGCTTGGTAGTCACTGAACATGTGGATGCAGTGGAAGAAACAAAGGAGTTGACTTGCACACACGTGATCATATACACATCTGGCAAATCTGATTCTTCCAGAGATCCAGTGAAGAAATAGGGAGTGCTGGACTAGGACTACCAGGGGAGATTCAGGTTCTGATTCCCACTCAGCCATGTAATTCTGTGTGTGACCCTGTGGGCTCCTCATTGTTGAGTACATACCCCACAGGGTTTTTAGGCAGATAAAATAGGAGGGGGGGAATCATGAAGTTGATTTTGAACTTCTGGGAGGAAATGCATAGTATAAATGGAATGGCTGAAGGAATGAATTATTTTATACTTTTCCTAGATCCATACAACCAAATAAATGTATGTGCACATATCTTAGAGTCATAGATTTATTTCATTCCCGAGGCTGACATATATGAGAGGGGAGTTAGAATCAAGGCAGCCAGTTTGTATTTATGGTAACCAATGCGGATGATAGACAGTCACTCAGTGGTTTAGCTCTCTGGCTGGATAACCAGAAGCTGGGAGTTCATTTTCCCACTGTGCCTCCTGGACACAGCGATCCACAGTGTCCCTTCCAGCTCTGCAGTTCTAAGATGATGATAATAATCTTATTTTGGTTTTCTGGAAGCGAGCACTGCTAAATTGGCACCTGCATGTCACTTCTTCCTTAGACCACTTCCCCATTCTCCAAGGAACTAGATTAGTTTTTTTGTTCTTTCTTTTGCCATGAAAGGGGTGGCCATCAGGATGCTCCCATGTTGGCTTTTGTTGCATTTACACACCTTATGAACATTCTGGAGTGATGACTCTACATTCATTGCCATCAGCTCCCATTAGCCTGCTGTACTCTGCTATCTCAAGACATTCCCAGAGCTAGGATTTGCTAATCAGATCCATCTAGATCAAATTCAGCTCCAAATAAATGTGGCCATATCCTTTGTGTTTGCATTTATTGATGCTGTTATGATACTTCCTTACTTAAAGATGTGGATGAGTTGTGTAACATGCAAGGGGAAGTGTCACATTGGGCAAGGAACTAGTTAACAGCACTATATTTATCACAAGTGTGTCAAATCCTATCCCATTGGTACCTTTTACACTAATTTTTTTAAAAATCAAAATATGTCGATCTGAAATGTCAAGAGTGACATTTTAGCACTATATCTATCACAAGTCTTTCAAATCCTATCCCATTGTTAAAATGGTACCTTTTACACTAATTAAAAAAAAATCAAAATGTGTCGATCTGAAATGTCAAGAGTGACATTTGAGAATATGAATGCGTTTTCAGCTCACCCTCAATTTCACTCCAGCTCTGCTTTATGTTTTGTATTTATTTGTGGCTCTCATTTTCTATCCCAGGATTCAGCTATAAATGATCCTTCTGGAACAAGCATGCTTTTCTTGAGAAGTCCACCTCTATGCAGTCACCCACCCAGGATTGTGTTTACCTTATAGGGTGCACTCCACTTCCCAGCTCCTGCCACATTGAGAGCCCTCACGCGGATCAAGTACTGGGTGTCCGGAGTCAGATTCTCCAAGTGCTCTTCTGTCTGTGAGCAAACCCAGCGGATACTGTTGCCTTGACCATCCGGCCTGGCCTCCTGTAGTTGCAGCTCATAGAAGGAGACCAGCTCTCCACTGCGTGGCCTTGTCCAAGAGACCTGCCAGGGGTTGGGGAGAATCAGCTTCATGCCACAAAGAAATGGGGGAAATGTCTCAACTTGCCTCCATGACAACATGAGAGACTCCTTCGGCATGTATTTGGGCTCAGAATTGTGCTGAGCTTGTATTGAAGGGAGATAATCTATCCACAGCCTGCTAATAGGATAAAAAAGGCAACAGATGTTATTATGCAGAAAATTTAGGGATAACGTAGGAGAAAAAGCAAACTTATTTTAAATAAGTTCCTAGAGCTGATTTCTGTGCATGAAATCTGATCGGGAAGGTATTCCTCGAACTCAGGAGGAGAAGATGCTGGAAACGACCAGAGAAAAAGAGGAAAGAAGAGACCTCTAAGAGTAACAATCCAGAAAGAGGACAAAACATGTTTCAGCCCCCATTGCCCCCATCCATTCACACTGGATCAGACCACATGCTACCTGCAAACAGAATGGTCCAGAAGATAGAGTTGTCTTTTCCTCTAAGAAGGTGGTATAAAGGAGAGAGAAAACAGGACCATTGACAATGTGGAAAGGCACGGAAGGGAGGTGTACTAGCAGAGGGAAAAGGTGGCTTATTTTCCCATCACTCATGTTCTTGGGGAGGGGGCACTGCTATAATCGAACCTGGGCTCTCAGGGAAAACATTGCTGGGCTTTTTGGATGAGCAGGAAGAGTAACATCAGTTGTTGACTCTCTTGAGCATCTCTGATCCCTCTGAGCTTAGTTGCAGTCCTCATACTAGTTAGCTGGAAAATAGATTTCCTCCAGCAACAGCCTATCTACGAGTAAATCACAACTAGAGTAGACCCATTGAATTAATGAGAGTCTGATGAGTCATCTCCTCCATAAGTCCCATTGCTTCAACAGGGCTACTCAAGCTGTGACTTACTACTGGATTTCAACCATTGCTGTGAGTGCCCTAATGCAAAATATTTTGCACCAAATTAATCTTGGGGGGACAAGAAAGAGCTTGTAGCTCAACAAGAGACTTGCCCCTGGGACAAATGGAAACTACCAGAACTGTTGGTTCATATGGATAATCGCAGGTGCAATTATCGCCTGTGAACCTTTTCAGGGCATGATTATGAGGATTCCTGTGATGCACACCTGCATTTCAAAATTCACTGCGGCAGCAATGTGAAGGACCTTGGATGACTCATTCCTCGTTATGACTCAAGCAAGACTAATGACTTAAAATACATGGAGGCACTCCGACAAGAATTCTTCAGGCTTTATGTCATTTTCTTAGCAACCCTGCCTGAGAAGCAAAGTATTCCTTGGTTTTGTTTTTTTGTATTTTCGTAGAGTGGCATTTTTTGATTTTGTCTTTTGCACTTTTGCAAATATCTGCATGGTTGTGATCTCAGAATTGTCTGGTAGAAAGAACCAGGGAGTCTTTTCCTGTATGTTTCTTACCTGCTGGTAAGGACGATGCAATTTGTTAATAATGCCTAAAGAATGATATTACTTAAGTGATTAGTGCGACAATAACAATAAGGACAAAATGGCGACCTAGGAGAAATGGGTAGTGCCATTAAAAGCAACACTCCAAACCCTGTCAAAAATTAACTCTGAGATCAAAGAGCTCATGAGATGGATGAGCCCTTAGTTACAAAAAAAGGGTCTCACCTGAGCACTGATGCTGCTGACAGTGTGTTCATAAATGAAAGGCTGCGGTGGAAGTTCCACGCATACTGGTGACTCAGAGCTACTGTCGGAAATGCTGGTCTCCCCATCGCTCACGTCCAGGTCTACGGGGACACTTAAGTTCCTGCTCTTTTTTGAGCGGCTCTGGGGAGGTTTGCGGGTGGTTTTCTCTGGGACTGGCAACCCCGCCAACAGGTCATCGAAGGAGAGAGGTAAACTGCTGGTGGAGTAGAGGAGGCTATTCTGTCTCTCTGCACTATTTCCCGGGCTGGTGGTGGAGGTGTCACTACTTTCGCCGGCAAGGTTGATGTGACTTCTGTATAACTGATGCTAATTGGAGACAAAATTAATGAGTCCCAAAACTGTACTGAGCAAAAATAAAGTAAAGTTTGCTGCTTATTTACCGCCCCATAGCTCTTAAAGTACTCTCTGGGTGATTTACAATTTATTATGCAGGCTACATATTGCTCTCTCTCCCTCTCCCCCACACCCCTGGTGATCTGGGTACTCAATTTTCCAACCTCAAAACGGTGAGCTGGGCACTCAATTTCCCAACCTCAAAAGGATGGAAGTCTGAGCTAACCTTGAGCTGGCGACCTGAGCCCATTGGAATCAAATCCAGGTAGTGAGCAGAATCTTGACTGTAGTACTGCAGTTTAACCACTGAGCCACGAGGCATCACACTGCTGTCTGAAGGATGGGGCAAGATGGCAGCCCAGTCTATTCCAGCACTGACCCGGAGTACATTTGCAAGTGATTCAGAGTAGAGTATTGCCAATAGCAACATATTTCAGAGAAGTTACCTTTTCTGGACTCCGTTCTTACAGTGGGTGTGTATGCAGTGTTTTGGAGAACTTGACATCCCAAAGCAAACTTTTCCCTGAATAGGGCAACATCCTGCACAGTGCCTGAAAAGAGGAGGCTGAGCACTGTTCTGCTTCCCTAGACCTTTGGCCACAGCATGTGAGGGGTAGCGTGCAGTTCCCAAGGCTAGTTCTGCAGCCTCTTGCCCCCTTTAACTGTGCCATCCCCCTAAAAACTATTTCCCTAATGACAAACAAACAAACAACAGTGTACTCTTGCTGCTGGAAATCTCTACGAGATGCACGGCATATTTCTAACAAGTCACAGCTAAACCTTTGGATTTATTAATCATCAACATCATCAACATCATATGCTGTCAAGTCAATTCTGACTTATGACAACCTTTTTCAGGGTTTTCCACACAGAAAATATTCAGAAGTGGTTTGCATGGCCAAAAGCCATACAGGCTATCTCTTCTTCTAGGAGAGACGGTGAGGAATCAAACTCCCAACCTCAGGCTAATATCTAAACCCCTGAGCTATCCAACAGTATTTAACATGAGAAAATACTCATGTTTTAGAACCAGAAGTAGACTTCCAGCCATTTCCAGTTCCTTCCTTCCTTCCTTCCCCAGCCATTTCAAGTTCCTTCCTTCCTTCTGGCCCCAGGAGGATCTGAGTGGCTGAAAATCAGCCCCAAACAACCAAAGTTGCCTGCTTCCTCCCCAATATTTGGAGTCCGAGGGAGCCCTTTGCCTTTCCCTAAAGGGAGACTGGGCCTTTACTATATATATTGGTAGGCATCCTTCAGTCTCGAGAGACTATGGTAACGTGCTTCAAATAAAAGTCTTGGAACAGCGTCTAGTGTGGCTGAGGAGGCCAATTCGACAGTGATCATCCCTTCCACACTGATGACAAATACAATCTATCCCCTGTCCAGCTCCCTGATTTTGCTGCTTTCGTGACTGTTCAAATGCCTCGGCCTGCTGAACAAGTGTCTCGTCAAATTGGGAGATTAATTGGGAGAGGCCATGCTGCACTGCCTGTCTCCAGGCTGAATGGGCAGTTGTCAAAGTTTCCCATCTGTTGAGGTTCAATCCTAAGGCCCTCAGATCCTGTTTGCAGATATCCTTGTATCGCAGCTGTGGTCACCTCCTAATGTTAACGTTTTTCAAACACTGTGAAATGCTATGCAGTACTTACCATGTTCTAGTGAGAGTGAGGTCAGGCCCTTAGAAAAGAAAGACTTGAGACTTCTCTGTGGTGCACAGTATGATTGGTGATGATGAATTTCTTGCACCTTTATGGGCACATCTGTTGAACCAGAATGAGAAAGTTTTGTGCCTTTGAATTTAAGAGAATTCAAAAGCCACATGTCTCTACTTCCCCAAGTTTTCCTTGTTTCTCCCTTCAGAAAACTGTCTCAACACTGAAACAAAGAGAGGGGCATGGAGGCTGGAGACTCCAGTTTCACAGGGTCAGTAAATCCACTCTGGGTTTTGGTCTGAACTTTGCAGGAGCAATTCAAAGTGTTGAACCCTGCTCTTCCGAAATATTGAAGTGAGCACCTCTCCCAATCAGGCCAATAACTGCTTATCTGTTACATTGTCTGCAAGATATCTCCTTGGCACTACAAATGTTTTGGGTGATGTTTACCACTGTGTAACCCTAAATACACCTGATTTCATCTGATTTTGGGAATCAGCTAGGTACTCAATTCACTGAGCTATGGAGTCAGACTACCATTACAGTTGCAATGTCTTACAATCAACCCTTGTCCTTCCCATTTCTCAAAGATAATTAAAATAGTAACTGTCTAATTTACTTTCTTGGCAAGTCTGAATTCAACAAGCTACTGATGTGTGTTGCAAAACCCTTTTCCTGGACATTTTGTTTCACCTTGGCACCTCCAACAGACACCAAGGGTACAGCGCAGGCCAATAATTAAACCATGAAGTATTCTGCCTTCTGCCTTTGGATGGGAACTCATTTTAGTAACCCTAAACATAAGTTAAAAGTTACCATTGCACCATGAAAGGAGTAGCTTTATTCATGGAGTCACCTTGGTAATGTCATTTATTATGCCTTAGTTTTTGAAAAAAAAAAGGATTAAATCCCAGTAGCTTATTATTTGTAATGGATTACTTTGAGGCTCCGGTGTTGTATGAGGCTCTTGATTCTGATTCTATCCGGGACAATGAATCCCCTCCGGGTTTTGCTGGAGCAGTGAATCTGCTCTGGGTAAGTCCATTTTACAAGAACTATCCAAGGTGCTGAACCCTAACTCCCCCAACACAGCAAGACTGAGCAAGTTAACTAGATCTTGCAAAGCTTAGACTAAACCATGGAATGGATTTATTGTGCCCATGAAATTGGAGTCACCAGTTTCAGTGCAGAGATTACAGAAACCTCTCCTTTGCCTTCAGGAGAAAAATGGCGGTAAGCCATATGGAATTCTTACATAGCTTTCTGACCACCCAGGAAGAAAGTCTGGTTCTAATGTGGGGCTTTGCGGCCACATCTTATCAAAAACACCAAATTTTGCAAAAACCCACAGGCAGGGAAGCCATAGGGCTGGGCAACCATATTGTTAACATATCTCTTTTCCTCCCCTCATGGCCATTCATTGAGTTCCCTCTTTGCTGTATCCAGGTGCCCTCCACCCTTTGCCTCCAAACCTATGAGCTAGTCTTGGCTTACCACCCACAGGATGCCTCAGTACTAGGAGAGAAACCATCATAGCCATGCTTATGTCCCAGAAAGGTCACCATTTGCCTGTCCTCCATTATGCCACAGTAATACTCCTCTCCCATTGTGACCAACTGCACTCAACATGGCACAGGCCTTATACAAGGCTAGGCCCCACAGCCTTTTTCCTGGAGAGGGTGAGGGATGGAAAATATCTGAGTTTTAAACTACAATGTAGGAGCCATACTGAATCCATGTGGTAATTTTGCCAGTAAAAACAAACAAAATAAAACACACACTTATGCACATGCCCCATCTGATAGCTTTCCACCAATACTATCCTCTACACAGGACAAAGCCATTCATGTCACAACTGGAAACTTATTTTGACACAGTTATGACACTCACAGTCAACATCAACAAAACCAAACCCAGAGATGGTTGAACATGCCAGATCAGAGAATTAAAACCAATGGTATATATTTTTAGGAATTTCTAAAACAAGTATTGACCTGTAATGAATACATCAACTTCTATTGTCTTTGCTGTATGAAAATAATATTGAATTCTAGCAGAGTATTGAGTTTTGGCTAAACTCCTTTAGCGGTGCAGCACAAATGCAGGCCACTTACAGACCAGAAGTAGTTTCAAGTCTCCCCAGAGTAGACCACTCCTTACTGTCTCATCAACTGGCACTTGTAGTCTCGCTTTATCACTCTGAGACATTGGTAAGAGAAGAAAAAAGATTACATTTACTCTCAGTTCTGAATAGATCAAAAACAGCATACTGTACAAAACATGACTGGTTACAATAGTAGGCCTTAGCAGATTCATCCTGCTTATTTACAGCAGTTTCCTGCAGACTAAATTCTAACAAGCTCCCGAACTCACTGACTAATGACCGAATGAAAAAAAAGAGGTAAAATATACTTAAGCAGAGAGGCATGGCTGTCTTCAAAATCAAAGGAAGAAAGGAACAATTGGTTGGTGCTGGATTGATTGACAGTCACTCAACTCAGAAAGGTCCCTCCCAGCTAAACCTAATGAGGCAGCATACAAGAGGGAACATAATTTCAACAAAGAGTTCTCCTAGCAGGCTGGCATCACTTACTTTCTTACTGGCTGCAGAAACAACTTGTTAAAGGCTTATTGTTGGGGTTGTTTTCGGATTTGAGTCTCTGGGTAGGCTGCTTTTTCCACAAACAGTGCTTCAGATCTATGTTTACTTCACCTCCCCATATAATTACAAATGTTTACAAGTATCTGCAAGTATTTTGTAATGGTGACAAAAATGAGTGCAAATATTCAGGGTGTTTCCAGATTTGTCCCACTATTTCTGCCACACCCCTTACCGTTTCTTTATTCCAAATCAGCTGCCTTGGGTCCCTTTTGGGGAGAAAGGCAAGATACAAACAAGCAAACAAACAAGATGACTTCAGCAGTAATTGTGAGTAGATCCAAGATTTTGGCATCAACATGCACTATATTTTGTTCAGCCACAAGGAGGGTGGGCTCTTTTCCTCCCCACTTTTATCCTCATAATTACCTTCATCTCAAAATTCACAGGACAGCACCTTCTCTTGATCCCACCACTCTCACAAGCACATCTGGGGAGGACTAGAGATGGGCACGAACTGCCAGTTCGGTGGTTCGTGCCAGACTGTTTAGCGGCCAAACGGGTGTTTGGCACTTCAAAAGCCCTGGCTTCCATCACTGGAAAATACAGCCTGCAGAAAGTCAATGTACTCTACCCAGCCACAAGGACTAGGGATCATTGCACAAAACAGACCATCTAAAGACACCCATCAACCACAGTGACAGATAATTTATTTATTTTTATTTATTTATTTGATTTATACCCCGCCCATCTGGACTACTCGTCCACTCTAGGCGGCTTACAATATAGGATAAAACAATAAAATAAAATAAAACTATTAATCTCCCCCTCTTATCACAACAATACACCCACAACAAAAACACACTGATCACCCTATCTCCTGAAAAGGACAAAAGCTATTCCCACAGCTATAAATATTCAGCTACCCAACAAACAGCAACAGAGCATGGACAGAGTTCCTACTCCAGTCCTCTGAAGATGCCGGCCACAGAGACTGGCAAAACGTCAGGAAGAACAACCTTCAGAACATCGCCAAAGAGCCTGAAAAACTCACAACAACCATTAGATCCCGGCCGTGAAAGCCTTCAAGAATACATTGAATTAATGATATCTTACCCTTTCATGATTCCAAACTTTGCTACCTAGCCATTCACCTCATTCTGCCTGATGACAGGCTGGCCTTATTTCACTTTTTGAGCATTGGATTTTTCATAGTTGAAAATAAAAAGGAGCTTTAAAGACAGGAGGGTGAAAGCGTGTCTCTGTTTGTGTCTGTGCGCGTGAGTGAATGAGAGAGAGAGAGCGAGACAGCTGACAAGGGCTTATATTTCTTGTATTACACATCATCAAGACAAAAGTCAGGCCTTGTTTGTAAGACAAAAATCTGAAACTTTATCCCAGAAGGGCATCGCTGTGATAAGAACCATCCTGCTGGCACATTCCAAAAACTCTGGCATGTTCATACTAGCATGTTCCAGTACAAATTACTTTCTAAGCAAAGGTAGACTATGAGTCTAATCAGTGGAGTATTTGAATCATTTTCCTCTTTTTCTAAAAAAAGTTGATATATTTGTATGTATAATAGGTAAAGTTTCCCCTTGACATTTAGTCCAATCATGTCTGACTCTAGGGGGCGGTGCTCATCCCCATTTCCAAGTAGCAGAGCCAGTGTTTGTCTGGAGGCAGTTTCTGTGGTCCCGTGGCCAGTGCGACTTAGACACGGAACGGTTACCTTCCCACCGAGGTGGTCCCTATTTATCTACTCGCATTTGCATGCTTTCGAACTGCTAGGTTGGCGGGAGCTGGGACAAGCGACGGGTGCTCACTCCGTCACGTGGATTCAATCTTACAGCTGAAGATCTACAGACCTTACAGCACAGAGGCTTCTGTGGTTTAACCCACAGCGCCACCACGTCCCTTTACAACAATCTACATTTATTCAAATACAGTCATGTCATCTTCCTCTGGTTGTTGCACAATGGTGGAGGGCAGGCTTTCACTTAACTGGGAATCATACTATGGTGTAGAGCTTATATTACAAGCATCCTGAAAAATCATACTAGGGCTTATTTTCAGGTTGACATGTGGGTGATGATCTCATTGTGTATGACTTGATCCTTAGGCATACCTTCGCTAGCCCTGTCTCATTTTTTTTAAACGAATTGCTCTAGTTTTTGTTTTAAGATCCAGAGAGATAATATCTCTTACTCTGAATATGGTTCATATGTTTTTATTGAGACTTTACTGGCTTTATATTTACTTATTAGCTTTTATCAGCTTTACTGGCACTTACCTTTTTTTTCTGAATGGTTAACTACTTTGATTACTTGGATAGATAAGATAAATGTTGCAATAAAATAACATTTAAAAACGGCAATAACTTGCGCTTTATGTTCCATAAGCTTAGCTGACTGCAGAGCCTGAAAATGTTACTGATAGTTTTCAGCTCCATGCTCAACAGCTGATTGTTCTAATCACCATCATCATCACGATATGCTGACAAGTCAGTTCTGACTTATGGCAACCCTTTCCCAGTGTTTTTCAGGTAGAGAATACAGTACTCAGAACTGGTTTACCATTCCCTTCTTCTGGGGGTGCCCTGGGGCCGTGCAGCTTGCCCAAGGCCACCCAGGCTGGCTTTTCCCCTAGGAGCCACAATGGGAATTCAACTCCCAACCTCTGGCTCCAGAACCAGGTACCTAAACCACTCAGCTGAGCGAAAGGAAAATCTATGTTTGATGAGGTGAGCCAACTCCCACCCCCTTCCCAAAACTCTGTGCTAGTTTGTTTTGTTCACCTGGGCAAACATAATTTTTCCTCTTTCTTGGAAAAACGCCCACATATTGAGAATGGGGGCATGCATGGGCTGAGGCCAAGCTTCTTCTTGGAAGGATTCCCCCGCCTCTTTCCATTTGACTACAAGCTGGGCTGCTTTCTTTCCCATGATGCTTGGTGATGAAATAATAGGGAAAATGGAAGGAACAGCCCTTTTCTTGCCCACTCCCACATCTGCTCCTGTCTTCCCTGCCCCCAGTTCTTCTGAAGAAGAGCACAGATCAGCTGTGCCAGGTAATGAGTAACCGAGCCTGTCCAGCCAGCGTGTTCCTCCCCTTGCTGTGCTTCAGCCTCTTCTGCAGGACAGGATGATCTGCTGACCCTTCTCCTTCCCTTTCCCCTACTCCCGGCTGTGCATGCGCCAAAGACTAAGTGTCCCATTTGTTTTGGCAGCATCTCCTCCGCCGGTTCTGCAGCCAGCCTGGATGAAAGTCCATTGTGGTTGCCTACCTTGGAAAATCAGATAGACCTTGGGAAAACGTAATTCAGAACGATTTGTCTCACTGTATATAAACCTTGACCGTGCAATCATTTCAGCCTAAAATTGAACTGAAAGGCAGTGTGGAAATGCAAAGCATAACTATTAATACAATACCTAGTACTGTATGTATGTACTCTGTGTCTCTGTCTCTTTCTACATACACACATATACACTACCTTGTCTGTA